CGATCGTTTCGTACACCATTAATGATATAAAAAACTAGACCGTAAGCACTTTGAAATGATATTAAAAATGTAATATTTCGATTTCGTTTGACTTCCGGTAATAATCCCGTAAAATAGAGAGAAAAAATAAGAAAAATCGTTTATATATTAAATGTAATATTTCGATTTCGTTTCATATTTCATAATGACTTCAAAAATTGAAATAAAACATAGAAAATTTAATGATGAAAAAAAAAGAAAAAAAAAAGGAGTAAAGTTGGGGGGTCACATGATCCCCCATGCCACCCTTGCATCTGCCCATGTTGCCATGACATGCATCATTTCTTGGTCTAGCACCCATTTTAGCTTTATTATTCTTATGTTGTGTACAAGAGCTCATATTGACAATTGTGTCCTCAACTTTTTTTTTTAATTGTATTCTTATTTTAACTTTTAATTAATAAATACATCTTATTTCTGTCTACATATTTTGTTAACGATCTTTTTATACATACATTCTAATTGATATTCTATTTTACATTATTTTATGTGACACACAATTTTATCATTAATTTCTCCAACACTTAAAATAATTGATGATTTCGATTTGACCACATATTCAAATGTGAGAAAATAATGTATAAATAGCAAAATCCTAATTGTAAAGGTGGAGGAAAATTAATATATTGATAAATTTTTGTATTTATGAAAGTAGGGCAACAACTAGGTTTTCTGTTGTGATGTCATTGTTCCTTTTGCTGTTTTAAAAAAATCTTCTTTTCTACTCTCCATTATTTATGCCACTTTTAAGAACAGTGTTTTTACTGTCTAAATCATTTATTACACTGTTCAACCTTTATTGAACAGTATGGACAGTGTAATTAATAAAAAATTAAAAATATTACATAATTGGACTTAACATTGACCAATGATCATAATGGCCAAGGGCTATGCTTAGGAGTACACTCTTGAGCGTATATCTCGACTGACAGCCCTCTCACAGTGGGGTGAGATCCCTCTGTGTGAGGGCTATCATGCCGATCAGCATTCAATGGCAAAATCGTGAAATTCATGAATTTTCAAAACAAACGTGATCCTTATAAGGTGAAAATCTATACATCGAATTATAAATTCTCAAGTCCCTCCTTATAATCGTAACCTTATTTGCCATCATTAATAAACATTGAAAAGGCCGCAACGGAGATAAAGGAAGAGGTTAGTTGGTATGAATCGATGTCTTTAACGGTCATTGATCAATGTGAAGGTTTAATAGTTACCATGCTGAATAGTAACCAATTCAGTAACACTATTTAACTTCAAGGACTGAATAGGTCAAAAAAAATACTTCAGTGACCTATTTGAAAATTTATAAGAGTACAGCAAATCGTGGTCCAAGATTTGATTCGATCCAACGGATGACATTTCACTTAGTGCTAAAAGTAGGAGATCTACGTAACTCGGGTGAGAATATCACTGAGACTGCCAGTTAGCTTGTAGTTATCGAAACTTGCAACGTAGAAGTGTAAGTTTCTGAGAATAAAAGTAGGCTTACCGTACAGTTATACTGACCGGATATTTATCGGTAATCGGTAACATATCTACTGTCCCCAAGCAAAAGATCTGGCCTGGTGCGCTCCTCAATGCTTGTAACCTCAGGTGACGAAATCATATGCTAGCTATTACATCGTCTTCCTCCATTTACGATAAGGCCCTTTTTTTATTGCACTTCAATATCATAAAAGATGGAAATTAAATTTCATTTTTCACTTTTTTTTATTTTTTTTACATATTTGATTATCCAATTTTTTCATGGAATTTGTTTTTCATCTTTCACATACATGCTCACATTTTCTTAATGTGTGGAAAGCTTTTCTATACAATTTTTTTTGCAATGAAAATAAATTATTTCCTTTAATAGATAATTTTCATGAAAAATAAAGTCAAACGAATATCAAAAGATCCAAAATTTCAATATTTTTCAGGGGGGAAATTATACCAATCAAACACAATTAATTGACAATTCTCAATAAAACAAATTCTGGACAATTCAATTTATTGAAATTTATTTTCTTTCCACCCAAATTTCATTCTCGCAATCAAACGGACATAATAGTAATTGAGATATTTTTCCTTAATGTGGCATATTTTTATTTATTTTTTACTAATAACAAAATTCAAAAACTTGGAGAGTCAAAAAATTTCATAGAAATGCACAATTTTTTTCCACGAAGATATTTTCGAGTTCAACCATCTTAAGTATAATGAGTTCAAAATAATGAGCTAGAAATACCTATTGTTAGTTTGAGTGTAATATTATTTTATTAAATAATGTGTGATTAAAAATATGAAATAAAAAAATATCTTGAAAATAATGAATACGAAATAAGGGCTAATGAAGTTTCTTATAATCAAAATAATCAAATTAAGTTTCTTTCTTATAAGTCATTTTAATTAAAATAATTACTAAAGTATGTTAAAATTTCAAAACATCAATTGAAGTATTTTTTTTAATTGTATCAATTTTCAAGTTTATATAAGTTACGCTAATGATCACTCGATTGTAATGTTAACCTAGAACCATTATTATCACTGCTAAATTCAAACTTAAACACACGCGATATTAACTAATATGTCCACACTAAAATTTTTGTTTTAATCGCAGTTAAAACCGTAATTTTCAAATAAGTCTTCTCTTATTTGTTCGATTTTAATAAGCATCAAGTTGATGAAAATTTGCGTTTTTGTTGAATTTATTTTTAAGATGGGACATTTTAGTCTCGCGTAAAGTATCGATTAACACTTCTGTGTCCTCATTGATTCAACGACACCTGTGATTTTAGATCAACGTTTCTAGCCGAATGATGATTAGGATAATCATTAGAAACTTAAGAAAATTAATTCAATGATCAATTTGAAATTTGTTAACAAACTTCAATTACCTTAATTAATCTATTAAAATTTTATTCGACAATCATTTTACTTGTCCCTATAATTTAATATAAAAATATTTGTGAATCACACCTCAAATTCGGAAAGTATATAGTTTTAAATTTGAAGTCTTTAAGAAGAACGCAGCCAAATGCTTCACATCAAGTACCCTTTATGATCAACGTATGGCACTTCTACTACTCTTTGATAATCAAGTCATCATAAACCAAAAAATATAAAAAATTACTTATTTAATTTAAGTGAATCTACTGTGTAAGTAAACTTCATGCACAGAAAAATAAATTTTGTAGCAAAATAATTAATTTAAATTTTACTCACAAAAATACATAGCCTCCGTTTGTTATCATTCTCCAAAATTCCTTTTTTTTTAAAAAAAAAAAAATTTATTTTTAACCATACATTCTCACAATATTTTGCGCGCAAATCTAAATTTTTTTTCTATTTATTAATTATATATGCTCTAAAAAAATTACTATTTAAAATTTTTTTTTTTTCAAAAACCCTTTTCAATGGACACGGGCTTATTAATCTTTTAAGATTATTTATTTACTTCTAATTATCATGCTTATATTCCGGTTTATGGGTTAATAGCTTGCTATTAGCAGACAGTGACCTCCACTGTCTGTCCTTTATATAGACACATCGAAAAAGCAATTAGAGGGAGAGAGAGTGAGAAGAGAGAGAGTGTGTTTGGACCTTCAACATCCAAGTTGGGAACAATAATTTATTCATCTTCTTGTAGATTCATGAGAAATGAAAGGTTAATCAATGGTGATTATATATTGGCGTTGTTTAAACGGTGAAACGACACTTCCTATGTTCTTAAGAAAAAGCTTCAACTTCTTGTTTGCACGTTGAAGCTAAATGGGTGTTTCTTTACGGGAAAGTTCGTCGGAAACTCGACGGGAAATCGCATACTCGTAACTATCGAAAGGTTTTTCTTTTTTGTTGAGTATCAAGATCTTGTTACTTGTATCTCGTGATAGAGAGGTAATTGATAATAAAACTTTGTAAATTCTTTAGCATTATTTTCCTGCTAATTTTCTTGATCTATTGGGTTTTATTTCTTAGATTTGATCTGAAGAACTGACTTCAAACTACCGCTCCTTTATTTATACATGCATATTCTAAAATTTCCTTTGCTTGCAAAGTTCAGAAAAAACGAAAAAAGAAAAGAAAGGATTTTTACACAGTTTGATCAGCTCCATATATATGTGTGCTAGCTTATGATTGTTTGTGAAGTTTCTTGAATTTCATGAGGTGGATCCGCTTATGGGTTTCACAGTTCAGATCTTTTGGTAACTGGAATAGTAAAACTATTGAATAAAATTTAGGGTTTCCGTGTGAACTGTGAAAAGCAAAACCTTATTGTTTGTATACTTGTAAAATCTGCATACTGCGACCTACAGTATTGCTATAGCGATTTCGTGTTTTTTTTTTGTAAGTTTCCAGTTTTGGCCAAATATTTTTTGCCCTTTGGGGAAAAGTTTTGCTAATTTCTTTGTAGGATGCATGTTCTGAACAGTGAACGACAGTCTATTTTTACTGTAGTTTTGTGGAAGTTTTCTGAGGTGGGTATATATGGACCAGTATGTATGTGGTATGCTGTCTAGGTCTGTGACTACAAGAAATCACTCTTTCTCTCTCTAGCTTTCAACACAATTTCTTGATAAATAAATATTGAAACTCAACAAAACCAGCGTATAAGGACACCAGCTACTCCGCTCATGACAATACGCTTTCATTTTAAGATGGAACTAAAGTCTATGTGGGTATCATCACATGAATTTCAGTTCATTTCCATGTATTTTCTCTCTCTTTTTGTACCATGTGTTGTGTGAATTATTTTGTTATCCCTGGGTTTTTCTTCTGTAGTTGTTGTTTATGATGAACTTTATTTTTCCCATTTTATTTTGTCTATATATAATTCGAGACACTTTTTAATGGCATGTGATTTCATGCAGGGGAATGTTTTTCTTCTCTTAAATTATTGATATTGAAATCACTATTGTAATGCTTTCTTCTACATAAAAGCTAATCAATTGATTGGCCTGTAATTAGACTATTTGGCAATGGAGATGAGCAACTTTAGTCCTGAATTGCACGTTGCTCAAAAAAGCCGGCGTGATAAGTTAAGAGTTCAGCATGATTCCAACCAGCTCCATCATTTGGAAGCTTATGCCAACAATTTGGAACAATCATCTGTCCACCATGGTCTAACCTCGGGTCTTGTTCAGTTTCGAAGTTGTAGGGATGAGAATATATGCAGTAACCCGTCAGCATTTAACTCGGAAATGCTTAATTTTCCTACAAATAAACAACCCCTATTGACCAATAAGGATGATGTAATGGTGCATCAAGAGCCAAGGGCAGCAGAATCTGATAAACGGGCTGGAGAGGCTTCGTTTGGGGAATCTTCACGAACATTGTTATCAACCTTTAATTCTTCAGCCACCGCAAGTGATGTCCCACAATATATTAGCACTTGGAATGGCATTGGTCCACAGTCAAGCAGTGATTGGTCAGCTAGTTACGTTAGTGGAAGTAATCCGAAGCTGTTGTTTGTTAGTGAGAGCTCATCTGGTTCTTTGAAAAATAGCAACACTCCTTTATCTATATTAGATTTCAAGCCTTGCCATGGACACCAAGAAGTTTACTCATCTTTCATTAAACCGCCAACTGAAATTCCTGATCAAAATCTGGAAAAGCATCGCGATGATGTGCATTATAGTTCTTCACTTTACCAGACTGAATTGCATGAAGTTGTTCATCCGGCAAACTTGGCAACTGAACCCCTTGAAATGCCTTTCATTAGGCAGCAAAACTCCAAGGAGACTATCCATGATTCATGGGCTGTTGGTGGTGGAGAACTTTTACTTCTTCCAACTTATGCAGATGAAATAGGCCTTAAAAGTTCGTCTGATTTGACAAGTAAGCCGGCCAATGTATGTCATCAGTGGAGTAGTGAACTGGACTATTCGGCAAACAAAAATGCCAATGGAGACTCTGGAATAGTTGCAAATGACAATTCAAACACTCAGGGCCTTTCTTTATCGCTTTCATCAGCTCCATCCCGTAAGGTACATGGAGCTCAGTTTTTTGATAGAGATCCTTCCCACAGTTTGAACTCAAGAAATATTAATCTCAGTGCAGTCCCAGATTCCATGACCTTGAATTCTGAATATTTGTCTTCCAATCAAAACCTTTTAATTCCTAGTAATGGTTTAGGAGTTCCTTCTCAAGATATAGTGAGAAAATCAAGTTTTGCTCAATGTAATCTTGGTCCTCTTGGTCCTTTCACCGGCTATGCAACCATACTCAGAAGTTCAAAATTTTTGAAGCCAGCACAGCAGTTATTTGATGAATTTTCCACTTATGCAAGTCCTAAGTTGAGTGAAATGCCTGGGGTATCTAATCTTTTTGGCGAAGTTAGGGTTTCTGGTGATGTTAGTGGTTCAGAACCTGTGGTAGAAGGAACAACTGGGGATTTGTGTGGATCGTCTTTCACGTTTTATAGGTCAAACGAGAGGGCTTATGAGCCTGGAGGTGAAAATAGCTCGACAAATTCATGTTGGCCTGAATATCTACAAAGAAAGGCTAAATTGTTAAATATGCAGGATGAGGTCGGTTGTCTTGACTAGCTTATTTTTATTGCCATTTCCAATGCTGCTTTCATGATCTAGATTAATGAATTGCTCCATACTATTTGAAGTGGTAGCAAAATAAGTCTTACATATTGACAAACTCCCATTTATGAAGTTCGTTTTTTTTTTCCCCTTCAGTTGCTAAGCTGCCATAGCCTGTGGTTTCCCCTTTTATAATTTTATTTGTCTGATCCAGTTATTGATATGTGGTGATTTGTTGCATTTAACATTAGCATTAATACTGATTAAAGCAACAAGATCAAGATGTGATGGACGCTGTCAATAATGTGGTGGGGACCTTGTGTCATGATATTACACAGAAGAGTTATGCTGAGAACATTTGCCTAATTAGTGTGAGGCTTTTAACTTTTTCTCGGTGAACAAGGGACATTTGCAGGCTAGATCTTTTAGCCTGCGTTTTGGTCCGTGGGAGGAATGGGAAGGGGGGTACATTATCACCGCTGTATGTTTTTCACACATGTACTTGTGCTTTTAAACAAGATAGGTAAAAATGGATAAAAACTAGAGAAAATTAACATGTAAGTTATTCTTCAAGTAGGTTGTAGGAATTCCCTTCCGTTCTGCTGATTTGAATGAAGTGTGCTATCGTCTATCCATCACTTTATTCTCTTTTATACAATTATATACTCTAATTTGACGAGACGAGATGGACGGGAACTACAAACTGTAAAATACCTCTTCATTCTGCTTCTCTTTTAGTTTAAAACAATTATTTAGGCATGAAGACAAGGAACCTTAGTATGTGTCTGGCGAGCCTACTGTGATTCGTTTGTAACTCGTTTAGTACTATGTTTACAAATGCCGCAAGGACGTCAAACCCCAAATTTAGATTTGTGTGGTGCAGTGATGATTAATACCTCTCAATCGTTGGAACTTATTCCAAAATTAAATTTGTGAATGTCATTGGTGCTTTTAGCATGCATTTTTTCTTCTTTAAGGACCCCAATTTTTCTTATGGAAGTGTGCTGTGTTTTTCCAGGTTTTCAGAAGGTACAAGCAGTATCATCAGCAGATGCAAATGGTTTTTTCATCCTTTGAATCGGTGGCAGGTCTTAATGCTGCTATTCCGTACATTTCTTTAGCTCTGAAGACAGTTTCCGGGCATTTTCGGTGTCTAAAGAATGCCATAGCCGACCAACTCCGAAGCATAAGCAGCACCTTGCTGGAAGACTTGTCGTCCCCGATGAATGATGGGAGCAATAATAAAGCGGATACAGATAATACAAGGTTGAAGTTCATCGACAGCTGCTCTCAAAAGCAGAAAGTTGGAGGCAATCTCGGGTTTCTTGAAACCCAACGTGTATGGAGACCCCAAAGAGGCCTACCTGAACATGCAGTGTCTATTCTTAGAGCCTGGCTTTTTGATCATTTCCTTCACCCGTAAGTCTCTATTGGTCTCTCACTCTGTGGGGCGTGCAAGCACGTCACTTTCCATAGTAGGACGCACTTGAGATTTATGCAGATGTGCTCATGTACGATCACGTTAACATCTGCTTACATAAATTTATTTTTATGTAGTTATCCTACGGACACAGACAAGCATATGCTAGCTGCTAAAACTGGCTTAACCAGAAACCAGGTATTCGACATTCGTCACGTTATTTTTATTCCACTAGGCCAAATTATTTGCTTTAAATATGATATTATATCAGTCACCTAATGCCTTTACTGGCTTTACGCTTTCATTATTATTTGTCTTGAACATTAAATTCCTGCAAGTCCATTGTTCATGAAATGTTCTGATCTCGTCATCATTAGAGGTTGGAGTTGATGGCTATATCAACTATGTTAATTTTGTTGTACGATTAATTCAGGTATCTAACTGGTTTATCAATGCCCGGGTTCGTGTGTGGAAACCAATGGTTGAAGAAATACATATGCTAGAAACCAAAGGAACGGCTGAAGCAGGAAGACCAGATGAATGTACTGTCCAATCAAATGACAGCCAATCTTTGAATAAGCTCAACTCAAGTTCAGCATTCGATAAGCAAGTGGAATTCTCAAGGATTAGCTCGTCTGAATGCATGCATCCCAATATACAGAATCATGGCAATCATTCGAGAGTTGATTATCGCATTCCTGCTAGTAATGATGGATCTTTTATGGGTTTTTCGCCATATCATCAAAGTGGAATGGAGATTGGGGGTCTTGGTTCGGTCTCGCTCACTTTGGGTCTGAAGCGAACTGCGGAGAGCGTGCAACAGCCACAATTCAGGCAGCATTTTGAGGATTCTATGGTTCGTGATTCTGTAGGTTGATTAATTTAACTCATTTGGTCATGTTGGTGGGATCTAGATGAACCAAAAAACCTTCATCTAGAAATGCCAAGATGAAGGATTTACAAGTTAAATAGGCCATCATTAGAGAATAATGTAGCGTATTATGAATGTGCGGCTGTTATTTGTGGTCCCAAGACGACAAAATTTCTTGTCTGATAAGTTCTGACTAGTGCTAAACGTCAAGAGACGTTTTGTAATAGGGAATTGGACTATTTCTTTGGGCCACTATGAACCTTTTTATGTATGAAAATATTTGAGGAGAATTGCAGTTCAGATTTCAAATCCATTTTTTTGGGGGGTATTTCTGCTTGTACATTAAGTGGTGTACATTGGAGGTTCCACCTCCTCACATGAGAGGTGGGACCCACTGGAATAATATTTTTTTATTCGAATGGATCCCATGTCCTATGTGAGGGAGTGTTATCTGTGATGTAGATTATAATGTACCACTAACGTTGTCCTTTCTTTTTTTTTTCCCCCTGTATATTCTATTCTAGTCCTTGGTTTGTGTTACCCACAATTTGTTTGTTGCAACACAAGGCAAATGGATGAATTTGACGGTTAGTTGATCCCAAAAAGTAATTTTGATTACTGTTATTAACTTTTTTATACATAAAATGAGTAAAAAAAATTGAATTAAAAAAAATCAGAAATTGATGACACTGTTTTTAACTTTTCCCTTAGCGAGACTTTCACACATGTTGTCGATTTTATATCACGCAAGTGTACGAATCATAACAAATGATAGTGGACCAATGAGTTCGAATATCGTTCTTACGATAATTACAATTTAACCGTCGGTTAAATTATTACTAACTTTAATTTGATCGAAAACAAATAAAAGTTGTGATTCGTGTCTAAATTAGTTTAACTAAACTAAATTAATCTAACGTACACAATTTATCGAATTTGAAATTTAAAAGTATGAATGTGGATGTTAGGACTTACAATTTTGCATATGGATCGCCTTTGATTCACCAATCAAGATTCATTACTATTGTAGTATTTGATCGAATTCTTCCAAAGTATTCTCACGATGACTATTATCTAACAATTGGTTAAATTATTCCAACTTTAATTTGATCGAAATAATAATATTTGTGATTAGCGACTAAATTATTTTAACTAAACTAATTTATCTAACGTACACAATTTATCGAATTTAAGTTTTAAAAATATGAATGTGGATGCTAAGACTTACAATTTTACCTATGGATCTCCTTTAATTTGTCAATCAAGATTAATTATTATTGTAGTGTTTTGGTCGAATTATTCTAAAATATTCAATTTATCTATTTCGAGTTCTCGTTGAGTTCATTTAATTAATTCAATTATATATAATATATATCCATGTGAATCAATCTTAATTAAACGCAACTATGTTCTAAAAATTCATGTAACGACCGTATTGGTTAGCATAAGTATCTCTACGTTTTATACTACATTACTGATTTTTACTATGTGGTCTAAATCTAAACTCACATTTCAATTTGTAATATATTCACAAAATCATTGAATAATTGACCAAATGATTCAAATCATTAAATTCATGAATAAAATCAAAATATATGCATTTCAAGAACTAAAATCTTGAATAAAAGAAATAAATGGTCACACACAGATTACATTATTCTTTCCTAACTATTAATTTAGTTGATATAATAATGAAAGAAAAATAAAAAGTATAGAATCATAACCGGGTTTTGAAATCTTGATAATAGAAAGAATTGAATCTTGCAAAAAAAATTTCTTCAACTTGAAAAGTCTTCAAACTCTAACTTTTGCCCTTTGATCTCGAGGATTGTGTGTTTTTCTCCTCCCCGAATTGTGTTATTTAGAGTTGTATTTATTTATATTTTCTCCAAGTTTTGGAAGAGTTTTCGTTGAATTAGACTTTTAGAAAGATGAATTGCACTTGAAAACCCTATTTGGCAATGTGCAGCGCTGCGAATCTATTCTTTGATCTCGAGAGATGGTGCCTCAGCCCCACCTATTACTCCCAACTCTATGCATTTTTCAATATTTTTGTCATGACTTTCTCTTCTAATATCCAATCAAGACGATTCAAAATCCATTGAAAAGATAATTCAAAGTGATACAACTTTACTAGAGATAGCTTTTTTGCAATTTTAAAGTTTACTATATCAAAAATGGGTCTCAATCTCCGACAAAAAATTTGGAAATATTTGTGTTGCTGAAAATTGATTTGTAAAAATATTTTGATTATATTTCACTCCCTTTTGACTTCTAATTGCATCTAATTGATCCCTTAGCATTCTCGAATTTTCATCGCGAGGCTTGATATAATTTTTGAATATTTACACTTTAGTCCCCAAACTTTTGATACAATAACTTATCCTATAATTTTATAAAAGAATTACGAAATATTCATATTTTAGAGCTTGAATAAGTGTATAAAATACACTTATCACCTACTCATACAAAATTGCGGATGTGATCTTGTGTGTGTGTTTCTGTTGTTTGTCCAGTATACATTTCCAATTTAAGATATTTTCCTTTTTTCTTTTTACAAAGTTTTATTTCTTCTTTCCTACAATACCCTAAAATGTTCTTCATAAGGCTGGAAATTCCAAATTAGTGTGTGCTCTGCGTGACCTTGTGGGGGAATAGAATGTATTCGAGTCCTAGCAGCATTTGAATCATTTCTTTGGTGCAAGCACTTCATAATTTCGTGTCCAAAACTTTTTTGCACCAACCCCTATATCTTCCAAACCCAAGTCGTCTTCTAGTTCTTGTTAATCTAGCTGTAATCTCTACTCCACCTTTTATTTCTTCTTAATGTTGCAGACAATAAAAAGAGACAAAAACTTCAGAAAACTCGTTAATGTTAAAAGTAAACAAAGTAACGCCACATTTTAAAAGAAGGCAATGCAAATCATAATATTTATGCATAATCTTCAAAGTAAAGATGATAATTTTAAATTCACCAAAATCGTGATACAAATGAGTCGACGGGCGAGCCACTGCACTTATTGTTGAATTATATAGTTAATTTTTGGAGCTTCAAAGTGTATGAATACACGCAGAGCCTAAAATGTGAGAATTTTAACGATAATAGATAATAGAAAGCCTCAATTAATATGATAATGTACTCTCAAATTCTTGCTTTTATTATATAGCTCTCATCTTACTTCTAATTTTGTTGATTAAAAATGAAGTCTATTTGACTATTTATATCTCCACCCTCTTTGTATGGAGGGCGTATCTTAGCTCTCATATCTTACATCTAATTTTGTTGGTTACAAATAAGGTTTCTTTGACTATTTATATTTCCACCCTCTTTAAATGTCGATGGAGATTGATTCTATTTTATGATTGATATTTTTTCTCTAAATTATTCTTTGTAGACACTTACATTATTATTTTAGCATTGTAATTCTACAACCTTCTAGACAACTATTACAATTTCATACAACTTCTTAATGGTCATCTAGTTACAAAATTCTTTTGCATCTCTTTTCTTCATTTTAGAATTCTTCCAACACAATCTTCCCATAGAATTTCTTATAATTGACTTTCTCCACAAATTTATCCTTGTTTCAAAATCTTTCGAAACTTCTTCTAAGTTCTACGCTATTTATATAGGTCTGCCGTCTGAATTGCTAGCGAGTTTTAGCCTTTGGATTGCGTCCCTCGTGTCCAATCCTCGTCCCACTTGTGTTTCACACCCCCAACGTCCCTTGTGCATTCTTGAGTGCAAGTGTTGGTTGCATTTACAAGTTTTCTATTATGTTACAATCGATTATGTCAATGATGAAATTTCTTATATGACATGTCAATTTAGATAATTTTTGGTTTTAAAAATTATTTGTTCAATATAAAGGATGAACAAAAAATTATTAACATAAACAAATAGATTCAATCATAACTTATCGATTCAAGTTGCTTCATTTTAAAATTCATATTCATCACATAACAAAAAAGAATTAACTTATTTTAAAAGAAATTCACGTGAATTCTTAATTTACAAGGTAGATAATTAATTAGTTATTACACTCACAATTATTTGAATCTTCATGCCTATTAAAGATTTCAATAGTTTGTTGTCATAAATCTTCAACGGTTAAACATAAAATTTAAATAACTAAATAATTAATATTATGAAATGAAGATTTAAATTGGAATTACAGGAAATATTTAATATTTTATTGTCTTGCATTGGATGCCGAATTACAGGAAATGCAAGAGAGAAGGGCTTATGTTTTGTCTGGATTGAGCTTGCATTCATGGCAGAGAGCAACTGCACGAGGCGATTCAAGGGATAGTAAGAGCCTGCTGCAACCATACCAGACCCATCCATGGTCGACATGGTTAACCTATCACAGAATATGGTCGTTGTGGGCTCATCTCCTCGACCTTCTATCAGGCCATCGCGATCTTTCCTTGCACAACCAAAACCGAGGTGACATCTGATCTTGTGAAAAATTTCCTCCAAGACCCCATCTGAATGCTTCATTTTGTTCCCTAGTTTATAATCTTCGAACTTCAACTTTTCGAGTGTGGATTGTATATAGATAGGCCTTGTCTCGTATCATTGTGGATAGCTGATGAAATATTAGTCTACCTGTAGAAGTACGTGATTAAAATTAATTTTGTCCTTTGTTGTTCAATTCTCACGTGTCTTATGTTGATTTTTTCTCCCGCATCTTACAATTCTCTTGACGGAGACTAGATAATGTGAAAAGTTGGCTATTTACTTAGGGGGTGTTTGTTTGAGATTTTTGGGGGAAGAATTGATTTTTGAATAGTGATATGATGAGAAATGTGTGGTTGAAAAAGAAGAAAATATTATTGATATGATGGAAAATATTATTTTATTGAAAAATGTGTGGTTGAAAATGAGAATTGATTTACTGTAGAATTTAAGAATCTCAACCAAACAATTTATTAGTGTGTGTTTGGTATGGATTTTTTGGGGGAAGAATTGATTTTGAATAGTGATATGATGGGAAATGTGTGGTTGAAAAAGAAGATAAGATTATTGATGTGATAGAATATATTATTTTATTAAAGAATGTGTGGTTGAAAATGAGAATTGATTTACTGTTGAAAATGAGAATTGGTACCAAACATATCCTTAACAAATCTCTTTAAAACACAATTGACATCTTGTGTTGGTGCTAGTTGGTAAAGGGTTAGTCTCCAAATTAAAAAACTTGTTGCAACTTCATTCTCAAGATATTTTTCTTGGCATCACCAAAAGGATTTTGTCTCTTTGACTTTAGATACACGCTTTTGAGGGGTAAAATGATAAATAGTTCATTTCAATGAAAATATGAGTCAAAAAAGAGATAAAGAAAAGTAAAGGGAAAACATAACTTCGTCTTAATCTCGAGAGACAAACTAATATTGAGTTAGAATGCCAAAATCGAGTGGGGAAAGGATTTAAAGTCATTGTTCTCAAAATTATAGACTGGCAAAATTCAATTCGACGCCTTAATCGGCAATTATTCTGATTGAACGTGAACTGCTATTTGGATCGTACAAGTACATACTATTGTGCATTTAACGTACCTATTTGACATTTGCAAGAACTTTAGAGAGTATCTCCAATGCAATCGTGAATTACTAAAAGACAAACATCGTATAAACTGTAATAGACGATTTTCAAAAACAAATTCTCTTCAATACAAGTTGATAAGGTATTGAGCTCCGTCTAAATTTGGAAGCTCCGTTAGATAGAGCGATTCAACAAAATTAAAGAAATACCTAGATCGCAAATCATACAACGTATTTGAGACTGAATAACTATTTATTGTGTAATCGAAAATCTTTCAACTTTCATGCCACCTAACTCGTAAGGGTTTGATCGAATATATTTTTTGCTGTTGAATTTAATGAATTACTTCATATAATAGTGACTTATCCACGCGTTCACTCTTTGATAAGCAAGCAAGAGACACAAGTCACAAAGTCTCTCGAAGTAGGCAAACAACCAAATAATAGTGACTTTTGAGCAACATCCTGCAAAATTTGTGTCCCTCAATTCGTCTGTTTCCCTAACTATCACTTAAAATGTAATTTAGCATTTAATAAGTTAAATAGTCCTATTTGGTGGAATTATAATCAGATGTTTAGTAAATTTTGATAGAAATTGATAAAATATGTGGTTGAAAAATTGTGGTTAAAATTAATTATCGACTTTGATTAAAATTTAGATTTTAAATCTTATAATAAGATAATTAAACCATGAATTCTTAACACATCCGAGAAAAACTTAAGACTTCATGTCTACTCTCTTCAGATAAAAGATGCAAAGTTTTTTGATGGTCTGATTCGATCCGATTACAAAAGGCTTGATTACAAAAATCGAATCAAACTTGGTGCAATAAATTTGTCTCATCAACAATGGTATTGAACCAGACCAAAAACAATTATGCTTCAAGAAATATTGTAAAGCGTGAATGGTTGTGAAATTTTTTCAATTTATGAGCCCCATAAAATATGTGGGTGAAAATCAGGTTTAAAAAATTGAGGTCGGGCAAGAGTTTAACGTCCTTTCTCTTGGACGATGAAGTGTCAATTATTAAAAATACATAATATTTCATTGATAGTCAAAGCCTTTGCTTTCGCTTCTACTTTTTGTAGTAGAATTTTTTAGAAAGTTGCTTTAAATTAATTTCCTCTAAAAGCTTTTTCTACTCAAATAAATACATCTAGAAAATGTGTTCAAAAGCTAATCTTAGTCTCGAAAGCTACATTCGAATTTTCAAAAACTAAGCCAACAAAGCCCTTCTTAATGTATTAAGAAGAATAAATCTATATGTACATAATTATTGCACACAATGAATTACATAGGTCAATGTGGAAGGAATTCGACTTTGGATGTGAAGTGTGGAAAAGTCAAATATTGTAGACTACCAATGGATGCACGCCACATGTCAATTATGTAATGTATTATGTAAATGATTATATACTTATAGCATGGTCCGATTGAGAATCATATAGTTTTGTTACGAGAAATAGGATCCGTCAAAGTTCGAATGCAACTTAATCGAAGTGCCTATTTGTTTCCCGTGATCTAGTTAGGATGCTTTTTTCGAAAATTTGCTCCTCCTAATTTAGGCAAATTTCGTAGTACTATGTCAATTTTATAAGATTCGATAAACAATAAATAGCTGAACTAGTCATGTCATATATAAATGAATATATAGGAAATGCTGATACAGATACTTGATAGAAGAATTAAATTGATAACATTTGCTCTAATTTCAGTTCAATTTTTTTCCCGAAACAAGCGAAAACATCCATACATATCTATCGGGAACACACGAAGACGGTCCTCTCTTCTCATTTTCTCCGTCTATCGAGCAATCGCCGGGTAAATTTTGTAAGCTTCTCAAACCCTAGATTCCTCCCTTCTACTGTATCTATCAATTTTGAATTTTTAAATTTCATTCTCAAAAATATTTATTTTTTATTAAATTGTTTGTCCGTTTGTAATGATCGATCTTTTCAGAAACGAAACGCAACTTTGATAAGATTTTTTCTATGTATTTAATCTGACATCTCCAGATTATTGCTTGATAAAATATGCCCAATTTTAGCGCTTTGATTTCGTGTTTTTATTTCCTTTATTCTTTGGGTTTAGTGTTTGTTTATTTTCAATTTTTCTTAATGTCGCTAGTTACCTGTGCCTTGTGCTTCAGGTGTTGTGCCTCACAGATCGACAATTGAATTCGGAATTTACTTGTTTTCTATGTTGGAAATGTTGAAACAATTACTTGAAGTTACTTTATTTTTTTACCCTTTTCTGGAGTCAGGTTCATTTATTCTTTCTCCAAGCTGACGTCTGCAGTTCTTTCTAGTAGTAAAATAGGAAATAAGAAATCTTTTGAATTAGGTAGAGAATTTGGTATGCAAAGCTTCTTTAGTTTATGTGGCTATTTAAAAAGTTATTGAGAGTAGTTATTAATAGATCAATTAGAATATGAGGGTGAGTATTTGGTATTAATTTATTCCTTGAATGTGTGTTAACAGGAATTCTACTTGGTGAGGTGTAAATTTACTTCTGCAAAAGTGGTGGATGCATTAGTGTTGCTCATGAAATTGGTTTCTGCCTAGTGCACGACCTTTGAGTTGAGCAACTTTTTATCACTATGGGAAACTGGCACCGCAGGTTTGTAGAGCTTTGTCATCCTGATTAATAGTGTAGAATAAATCCAAGCTCTGTGCAAGTTGTGTTCTTATTTTTTCTTTTGCTTTCTTTATGCAGTGGGGTTGTTAGGAAGTCGAACGATAGTGCTCGACTTGTTATAACAACTTTTATGGGGATGCTGCTTGGATATTTTATAGGTGTTTCATTTCCTTCAGTTTCTTTGACTAAGGTACATTGGCTCAGAAAGTGAGTTAAACTTACTTGAGAGGTCATGTGGCACTCATTTGACTCATTGTATTATTTATTTTTTGGCAGATTAATTTACCTTCAAGTCTCATGTCATCTTTCGATATAGCCTTTAATGATGATCGCCGTGGTTCTGCTAGTCGTAGTTTTCCTGAAAATCTTGGTTCGGGCAGTACTCCTTTAACACCTAAGGTATTTCTTTTGCTTCCTTTGGATTCTTATGATGCTTTTTTGGAACTTTGAAGCTTTCTTTTACCTTGAAGACCGGTAAAGATTATTCCATTGGTTCATTATTGTGGCTGGATATGAAATTGGTAGAACTTGATGAGTGCCTATTTTCCTTTTTTATCTAGTAGTTAAATGATTATAATGGATTGAAGTGCAATGGCTCTCTTATAATTGATGCATTCGTTGCTATGCTTGGTTTGATATCGATAGCAAGGTTATGATAGCTTTGACTTCTCCTGGTGATTTATTCATTATTTTTGGCTTCTCAGATCTATGCTCCTAAAAACCCTCGTGGTGCAGAGTCTTTGCCACCGGGAATTGTAGTTTCAGAGTCGGATTTTTATCTGCGAAGATTATGGGGTGACCCTAGTGAAGTAAGGATTAAAAAAAGTGGAACTTGTATTACCGCTATAATTTCAATAATTTTTGTTTGTCATGGAATCCTCATACTTAATGCCAATTTATTTCTACAATTCTAATGCAATACTTGGATGAGTGGTCAGATTCAAACTTATATTTGCTGTTATAGTTCATTAGTTATGCATATTAGCCTCTGCTTTCATTTTTGCTATCCTTTCCACTCCATTTTCTGATGCAATCCTCCTGCATCAGTGTGGATGACAATAAGAATGATGACGCTGGGAGCCATAGTGCATATTTAGCAGCATGAAAGCAATTATATGACTAGGATCCTGAAAGAAGTTTCTATTGTATCAAAACTTTGGTAACTGGAGTATGCTCATAAGATTGCTTTGGAACTTACAGGATCTGAAAAGGAAGCCAAAGTACCTAGTAACTTTTACAGTAGGCTTGGAGCAAAAGAATAATATTGATGCAGCAGTGAAGAAGGTTATGCCGGTTTGAGTTTCATTGTGATAATTGTAAATATGATTACTATAGGGTTCCTTTATACTGAGTTTTATTTTGATATAATATTGTAGTTTTCTGAGGATTTTCAAATTATGCTTTTTCACTATGATGGGCGGACCAGTGAATGGGATCAGTTTGAGTGGTCACAGCGTGCAGTACATGTTAGTGTTAGGAAGCAAACGAAATGGTAAGATTCATCAATTTTAGCTTACAGTCTTCTTTAGTTGTTTTGTTCACATTCTCGTGAACTAGAGACATTACGAGACCTCTTTGAAGGGATTAAAGCTTTGCATTTTTATCCACTGTGCTCATGATTTTCTTGATATCCTCGCTTTGTGCCTAGGTCACCATCAGGTACTCTTAGAAAATAATGAGTCTATTTGGAGAAATAAATTCTCTGGATGTAATTCAAATATGTTATGCAAGCATCGTGGACAATTAATTCATTTTTTAGCATAATAGAAATAAAATAAAACGTATAATACGCGCCCTGTTTGACAATCATTTTTACTTTTTTCTCAAACTCATTTTCAACCACGTAGTCTCACAAATAAAATATTTTGCACGTGAACTCAAAACTTTTTCCTACTTTTTAACCACACATTCTCCAAAAAAATCACTACTCCAAAACTCAATTTCCCCAAAAAAACTCTTTAATTTTTGTTGAACAAACAGGGGCTAAGTTTTTTTTTTTTTGGTTTGTTTTTTTAAAGGTACAGATTTTAAGTGAGGTGATCATATCTTTTTGAAGAAATATAGATTTTTCTTTCCACATCTAAACCCTTCTCTTTATCCTTAATTTTTCTTCATTTAGGTGGTATGCAAAGAGATTTCTGCACCCTGATGTTGTAGCTGCTTATGATTATATTTTCATTTGGGATGAAGATCTTGGAGTTGAACACTTCAACGCTGATAAGTAATTATTGTTTTTTGTAGTCCCCAATAATTTCCGATTTTTCATATTATTTTTATTGCATTATGTTCTTTCTGCTCTCAATGATGGGTATTTCTCAATTTGGCAGGTATATTCAATTGGTTAAGAAACATGGTTTAGAGATTTCCCAGCCTGGTCTTGAACCTAATAATGGACTGACATGGCAAATGACAAAGAGAAGAGGTGACAGAGAAGTGCACAAGTAGGTTTATTAATAGTCACACCCCCTCAAAAAAAAAAAAAAAGAAGGAAATAAAACAGAACACGTAAATTAATAGATCTATAGAGGAAGAACCTAAGATTTCATTTGTGTATACAGTGCTCGTTTAAGTTGATTGGTTTGGTGCAAGCTTTTTATATTGGTATATTTGGATGGTGATAAATAGGGACACAGAAGAAAAACCAGGCTGGTGCAGTGATCCACATTTGCCTCCATGTGCAGCGTAAATTCTCTCCTCTATCTATTTATCAATTAATTTGTGAAAGATTTACCGGGGGTATTGGAAGTCGAGGGTATCAATGGTTGGTGACATAAGTGCTTGAGAAGTAGCTCTGATGCTATGGGGACAGGAATAGGATGGTTTTTATGATATTGAGAACTGTATTTGGATAATCACACCTTGTATGTGTGTTACTCCGTAAAATGTGGTGGATATATAATAAAAAATATTTGCTCGTCTCGTGTTCACATGGATATGTTGATAAAAATTTAATAAGGTGTGCTGTCATTTAGGTAAAAATACTGCAAATTGAAATATAGCTTATAGGTGAAGTTGGAATATTAAGATGGACACGTGTTAATTGATTGTCCGAAGGCAAGAGGAAATAGGATTCTATTACGTCTTTTGGATAGTAGACATGGAAGATAAATTACTAACTGCTAATATAGTTTTGGATTAAAGCAAAATTAGTCCACTTGATTTATGTGTTAGGCAGAGCGATACTAAAATTGGTAAATATATAAAGGAAAATGAAAATGACTTGTAAGAATGGAGACATATATTGTAGTTTTTTTAAGATTATTGCCTTATTTAGAGTTATGTGAAAGAAAAATAGCATAATCCCATATACCTACAAGATTTTGTTGAGATAAGTTGATTTCCTCTGAAAATTGATCAAATAAACCACTCACACACACACGCATGAAATGATCTTTTTATGGACTCACAATGTACATCTTAACCTATGGGAAATGCCCTAATAATGCAATTGTACATTATCTTTTTTCTTGCATTCAGCTTTGTGGAAATAATGGCTCCAGTATTTTCTCGTGAAGCTTGGAGATGTGTTTGGCATATGATCCAGGTACATATCTTGTTTTGGGATCATATAACACTGCTTCACATGATCACTTTTTCTATATTAAATCTCTTCATTCTAGTGCTTTAAATCAACTTCTTTTCATATTAGTCTCTTTCAGCCTGTACAGTCAGCACTAACTTTTCTAATTATGTGCTTGCAGAATGATTTGGTACATGGATGGGGTTTAGATTTTGCACTCAGAAGATGTGTGGATGTTAGTTGTCTCTCTCTCTATTCTCTTTTTTTATGTGTGCGCACATGCGTGCATGTAGGTAATTAGTCCCCTTCCCTCACCCTTTTAAGGGAAAATATAAAAGAAGGAAGAAAAAAATTAACTTGTTAATGAAATAGAAGTAGTTAACAAGGAAATCGTGGAAAAATATGTTCGTTTCCACCTACCGAAGAGTTCCAAGTCTTCCTGCTGTGTTGCCATTATTTTTATTTTGCGGTGAACACGTTTTTTTTTTGAAAGATCTTCTCTAACTTTTGTTTTGCCCCTGCAGCCTGCACATGAAAAAATTGGTGTTGTTGATTCACAATGGATTGTGCATCAAGTTATTCCATCTCTTGGAAGTCAGGTCTGTCATCATCAACTTGTAAATCTATTACATAATCATATTTCTTTTTTTCCTGCTTTCTGGGCATTCCGACACAATATTGAAATTTATTCTTGTATGAATATTGCTTAAGTGTCAAATGTCAGCTGAAAAGTCCAACAACCTGCTTTACGTGTTGGGATGATTGAATATTAATACTACATTGCCCATAAATTGATCATTTAAATGAGCTAATCTCAAGAGAAGATATTAAGCCCCTGTTTGCTTTACATTTTTTAGCCAAGAATGCATTTTTTTTTTTATGTGATGGGGAATATGTGGTTGAAAAGAAGGAAAAGTTATTGATGTGATGGAAAATATTATTTTATTGAAGAATGTGTGATGTGTGGTTGAAAATGAGTAGAAGAATGAGAATGAAAAAAATAATGTGGCTCAAACAGGGGCTAAAAGTACTTCTAGTTGAAGTCCCTTCAAACATTCCATTGAGGGCATTGAAGAGTTTTATCCTGGTTTATACAAGTGTATTCTTGAGCAGAAGATGAGCGAAGCCACCAGGCTTTTCAATTGCTCTCAGGAAATAGATATGTCAGTCAATAATTCAAAATGGAAGGGATCACTCTTCTAATTGTGGATAAGTGCCTAGCATAGGATATTTCCAAATTTTAGGTCAGTATTGAGAACTGATATTAGGGATGTCATCTGAAGACATAAGGTTTTACTGTCAATGCATATAATTTAGTACAGGTTCATGTCGGTCAAAAGATTATTTTTTCCTTCAGACAGCAAAGTATGTGCTGAGTATACAGATATGATTACTGTTTCTGTTAGAGCCAAATGCTATCGAAAAATCTGTTTACCCATTAATAAAATATTGTCAAGATATGTAATTATCTCCTGCAGGAGTTGAAGAAAGAATATGGGACTGTAAAAGGAATGAGAAGTAGATTTTCTGGGGTCTTGGGTTTTTCCCATTTCTCCAATTCTATACCATTCTCTTCTATTTTTCTGATCTTACAGTAGTTGTAGAAATGCAACTATGACTTCTATCCCCTATTTTCTAAAACATCTTCATTGCTTTGTAACTCCTTGGTTTTTGTTACTTTTGCTTATGCCATTAAATTAGCAAAGTTTATGTACTTCCTCAATATGTTTTTCCTTAAGTTACAAGTCCTTCCTTTGTACAAGAAAATCAGTTTTGATGATTATATCGAGAAACTGTGTTTCATGTTGGGTAGTAATATTTTCACTCTTATGGGAGCATCCAGAATATTTGAAAATGTGACTGATTTTTTCCTGTCAAGTTGTGAACCAAATCCTGAAATGAATGAGATGTTCTGCACTTGGCTATCAGATTAAAATTGATGGCAACATTGTCCAGGCATATTTGAAAACTTGTGTTGGACATGCACAAAATGCACTTTTTCCCTGATATCTTATAGTTGATAAATACATCTGCCCCTGTTTCCTTGCCTTCTTCCCTTATTGGATGTCCATGCTGTCTTCATTCCTGTCCTTTTTAGACATGCTTTTTATTTGTCAGTTTCTATTTTTTCCTCTCTTGTTTCTTTTTTTATGGTAAGCTTTTACTTTGTCTCACTAGTTCTAAAATCTGTATTTCAACATTCAGGGCCAACCTGAGAATGGTATTGCTCCATGGAAAGGGGTACGTATATATAAAATTTCTCTATATTGTCTAACAGGGAGCTCTACTCTTGGGTTCCCCACCTTGATTTGCATGGAACTACATCTTTCTTCCTGTCATGATGGTCACATATTTATAACTGTTAACTATCCCCAAAATCTGTTATGATCAGATACGTTTCTTATTCTGTCAGGAGATTCACAAAATTGAGAAACTTGGCTTCCCGTTATAAAATGATCGTGCATCTTTGAGGGAATTTGCAGCCGCGGTCCCTATACTGAGAAAATAGATCATATGGCCCCAATCAAATTTTTTTTTTTGTTCAGATCCTCGAAATTTCAATTTCAGTACAGTAACATGACATGACGACCCACTTATTTAAGGATAGTTTTCGTAATGGTTTGTCTGCATGTATGAGAATGACTAGCATAAATGTTTGTTTTCTCTTTCACAGGTACGAGATAGATGCAGAAGTGAGTGGGCTATGTTTCAGGATCGCCTCGCTAATGCAGACAAGAAATATTTTGCACAGCTTAATAATTGACTTGCGAAGTGCTCCTGATCCTTCGTGTATATTGCATTTTCCTTGTCCTTCTCCTCGAGCAATGTTTGATAGTCCTATTCTCTTACGTGACATTATTTTCTTCTTTTAGATGTAGGGTAGCAACTTTACGAGCAGTGTAACAAATATGGTGATATGTTGGAAGAGTAAGGTTTAGGGTAAATCGATTTTTCATTTACCCTGCAGTTTTTAAACATCTGTAGTGCCATCACTTACGGTTTTGTTCACAAAATTCTCCCCTGCAGTTGACTATAGGGGAGTTTTTCTAATGTAATATATGTTCATAGTTTGGCACTTTGGCTACTTTCCTATTATTCAAGCGAAACCGAACATGCTCTAGATCGAATCGAGGTTGCTTTTTATGTTTTTGGTTCCTTAATTAAAATAAAAATAAGAACAATGATTATTTCTACTCAAGTTGGTGCTTGTGAGCCATACTGATGTTCCTAGCCTCGTAGTAAGTCGATACAAGACTGGTCCGGTCCGAAGGCTAGACTTGCCAACTTGACTCGACTTGATTTGTTCAATTGCCACCAAATTGCATACCTTTTGCAATTACTAGTCATTGCCCGTGCAATGCACGGGCTAGGTTAGTTTGAAGGCAATATTAGCGCATGCAATGTGTTGGATTATCGAAAGATTAAAAAAAAATTCAAATTAATACATCAAGACAGGAGATATCCTTCTGGTTGAGTACAGGTGGATGTATTCACCCAAACTATAATCATTTGTGGTCACATCAAGAGAAATCCAAGTGATCATATATCAAAAAGCATCCGATCATACTCTTATCATATATTTTCATGAATCCACATTGACATTGTATATCACAATATACTCAGTAACTTATGGAATAAGAATAACCTACAAGATGAATTGTCCTTTTATCATACATTGACATTGTCTATCACAATATACTCAGTAACACGTGGAATAAGATTATAAGAATGACCTATAAGATGAATTATCCTTTTATGACTTCCAGCAAGCTCTCCAAATTTATTAAACCTGGAGCAAAGAAATGCATGCATAATGTTAGAATTACTTAAATATATATATTTTCTCACAACCCAACTTTAGATAACATACTAAATTATGTGCGACAGTGAAAATATCACACATACATAACCTCTAGATGGATCAATAGCGTGTAATAGTAATATATCAACTATCACTATAAGATCCAAACACATTTACTAAACAAAAAAGCGGTTCATGGGTAAACCTTAAAAGGAAAAGGGAGAGAGAGAAGGATAAAGTGACAAACCTACTTAGCAGTAAAGAAACTCAACCAAATGCAAGAGTTGAAGATGAGGTTGTCAACCTACTTACACAGTCGTAACTAAATCCAAGCATAGTGCAAATGCAATTTCAAAAGCTTAGGGACGGATTGAAATTATTTTCAGTGATCAGTGATCAGATCCTGCATATCCCTAATGTCATTTTTGCAAGTGAACAAAATGTGAAATGAAATAAGTAAACTGTAGAATATGGTAAAATAAAAAATAGAAGCTACACGCTAAGATCTAATGATAAACAACAAGAACAAAGATTAAGAGCAGCTACAATCCATCATTACAACAAAGTTTCTAACATATTAAACCCACTCATTCTTCTAGCAAACATGCTAAGATCTAATGATAAACAACAAGAACAAAGATTAAGAGCAGCTACAATCCATCATTACAACATAGTTTCTAACACATTAGACCCACTCATTCTTCTAGCATGATCAACCACAGTTGTCTATTTCCATCCCAACCATCCTCAATATTACTTACAAAAATATTCAAGCACATATATATCTATTAAGAACTTCCAGAGAAACATGAACCCAATTTGATAATTGAAAAACAAAAATTCGTTGTGTTAAATGTCCTGCCCGAGTTATTAATGGGATGCAGTTACACAAATAAGAAGCATTGAGATAAAAAAATAAATAATCACCCATTGGCATATTGTGCAGAGAACTATTTAACCATAAGAAAGTACCTAGTGTCCAAAATGAACAATTTGCCTTCACTGGGCAGGTAAGATCAAGCTGTAAACATTACACAACAGGAAAAGTACAATTAATGAACTGCTAAACTACAATTACAAATGCCCAAGAGAAATTCAGAAATAAAAATAGAATTAGAAAAAATGACATCAAGATACGGAGGGTTTCGTTTAATCCCAACTTGGACACGACTGGAATCAATCTTACAGTGAAACAGTTTATTAGGAACATTTGGTGGAAGTGTTATGTACATATTCACCTCTCCCAACGTTTCATCCCACTCGAATACTTGGAAGAGTGGGGTTTTGAAGCTCAACAGGTGTTTATTCGGAGAAATGCCGGAGACAACGCTAGAGGAAGATTGATCGCCGGAACTTTGAAAGATCGAGAACAAACGAACGATAGGTAGAGATTAGGGCAAATATCTTCCTCTACCTTTTCCTTTTAATTAATATTAAAAAAAGCACTTTTTAATGAAAAGTACCAAAACCATTTGTGAACAGTTGAGAAAAGTTCACATCTTGTTATGGTTTGAAGCTATTGGAGATTCGGGAAGCGACACCAGAAGGCCCGCGCAGGCATGCCATAGCTCTGAATTGAAGCATTTATTCTCACCTGCTGGCAGCCCCCCAAACAAAAAACTAAAACTATAAAAGATAGGTAATTTAATAACTAAAAAGTAAACTCAATGCATCTACAAAAAATTTTAATCAAGAAATTAAAATAAAACATACCTTCATCAGGCTGAACAAAAAACTAAAACTATAAAAGATAGGTAATTTAATAACTAATAAGTAAACTCAAAGCATCTACAAAAAATTTTAATCAAGATAATAAATTAAAACATACCTTCATCAGGCTGAGGATTATAGCCCGCAGAAGAAGATAACCACATATTCCAGAAAAAATGAAAGCAGCTAAGAAAAAGCCTAATATACTATTCCAAAAAATTAAAAACTACTAATTGTATTTATAAATCAACTAATAATCTTAAACATATGACTTGACCCCCACCCACTAAAACAAAGTTATCCAATGTAACATAGGCTGTTTATTAAAAAAAAAAGAAAAATCATTTTTTCTTTCATTATTTGGCCTCCATTTAAAGATGAAGCCTAAATACATCAAATGATAGCAAAGTGACCAAATCATCAGATATCCAATTGAAGTTTCAATTGCACCACCTCTACCAATTCAAAAGCATATCATGACCTAAAGCCTAAATAGATTGCATAAAGATAATTCTCAAAACAGGATATTCAAGTGCCATTATATTTTGAAAAATCAAACATCAATGAAAATATTAAGATTTTTACCAATAAAATAAAATAAAGAAAAAAAAATAAAGAAAAGCTCACCCAATGCAAAGTGTTTCGGTTGATATACTCCTCCGGTGGTCGAGAATTCTTTCTACTGTGAAAATTCAAATGGGGAAATCGATGAAGTATAGGGAAAATAAATATTACCTTGCTTTTGAGAGTTTGAGAACAGAAGATTAAGATTTCTTGATTGCTAGCAGGATCATAAAACAAATACCGGCTACCTAACCATAGTAAACATCTAAGCATCACGATTGCCACTTGAAGTTATTGAAAGAAATGAAGAAACCTATTTTTCAATGGAAACATATATACATAATTAAAATAGAAAAATTCACATCACATAGATTAATTAAAATAGAAAAATTCAGAAGTGAAGTTTCAAAAACAGACCGAATTTTCACTTTGTGCTCAAAAGATGTCAAGGGAACAACCATATGTAGAAGGCTAACAACATTTAAGCATTTCTCTCGGCAGTTCTTATTTAAATTACAAACATCCAGATGATTACTTGAGCATACAAACCCACCATAACATCGAACCATGTGTACAGACCTATCTGATTCTATATTTGCATTTTCACTTTGGATAAAAGCACTACCGTTTCTAACTCTCTAACTGTGCAAAAAATTACTCAAGATGAGGGCTTGTTTCTAGATGTAGAAGGGGAAGACTTCTCTAAGAGGGAGAAAAATGAAAAAAGGGGAAAGTGTGAGAGAGAGAGAAATGAGATGGGTGAAGAATGGAGGAGTATGGGAGTTTGCGCGTGCGTGTAAAATTGCAGAGAGAAGAGTATTGAAAGTTGAGAGGAAAAAAGGGGAGAGAAGGTACTGGAAAAAAAGGCAGAAAAGTAAATTACAATCTCCTCTTACATGCCTCGGCTTTTATGGCTCGGTTTCTATGGCTCGAAAATGGCTGGCTGACTGACTTGGCCAATCGGCTTATGAATAGTAGCCTCCAAAATCACTCTTTTTATAATGTAGGATAGGATAGGATGTAGGATATGATAAGATAATATATATATAACCCACATCTGTTGAATATGCAATAAGGCCTACCTAAGCTCCAGAAGTTATCATCGACCTTTATAGGCTGGAAGAGTTCACCCTGCAAACATACAAAAACAAGTATTTGACTTCTTATGCTATGAGAACAGTATGAGACGATACATAGGACAGCACGATACACTTACGTCAATAACTGGAGGATGACCTTTGAGCCCAACTTTAAGATAATTCTTCTTAAATTCACACACAATATGAATCATCAGTAGCTAGAAGCCAGGTGAATAATAAAAATAGAAAATGCATTTTTAGCGTTAAGTTTGGTTGATCACACACTACTCTTCACAGAAACATCACACCATGACACCATTATGGCACTCAAACTTTAACTTTGGCAATAAATAAATAATACAATCACATACCTGCCAGAACTGCTCCAATCATATTCAGGAGTGTGATCACGCTTATGCCATTCTGCTCCATCAAAACCAGGAGGGAACAACAAAATTAAAGAGGGAACAACATTCTTTTATATTAGACAGAAAGAAATAAGAAACTCAAAACAAAAATTGAAGATAATAAGTAAACTTCAAAATACCTTCCATCTATAATGTGCGACATGACCCTCTAAGTAGTCAGCACGAATGCGGTTGGAGACGTTGACCTGAATGTGCAGTCTCAACAATGTTAATATAGACTTAGTGCACAAGAATGTAAAAGATACATAGATGTCACTTTTCAAATTTCAAATCATGCACCTCAAGTAACACTGGACCGCAAACTTATGAATATAACTGCAGAATTTGGAATGAGAGTCACAAAAATAATCTTTCTCATTGGATTTGTCCAACAATCTTGTTACATAATAAATTTGTAGACAGTGAAACATTTGTGCCCAAAGTTGAGTAGATGGAAGAAGGAATGCAATAAGAACTTACAGCCTCAGGTAATGAAGAGGTTCTATTATCATCCTCAACTGAAGATGTTGTTGGAGAACCTTCTTCATCTCCTTCGGGTACAGGGGAGGGCGGATTAGCAGGAATGTAGACAACCCTCAATTTAACCTCATTGACAATCTTGTCCTCCTTCCTGTGAAACTACTTAAAAGATTAACTGAACAATTAATTCCAAGCAAACTACCATGTTAAAGCAAGCTTCATAAATCATTTTTTATGGAAAACTAAACCCTACCATTTCCGCTGTTAAATCCTTGTTTGTTGTGCCCCTGGGAGCAACAACACTCTGGATTAGAAACTTGTCCTTGCACTGCATATCAGCGGGCACCTCTTTGTGTGCTTGCATTGTAACTATTGATCTCGAAATATAAAACACAAATGTCAGTAATCCAGTCCTATACTAAACACATGAAAATCGGAAAATCATTAAATCAATACCGGTGACATTGCATACAGAATTGGGCAAGACAACACCGGCGTTGGGTCGAACAAAGTACCTCTTGGGGCTGGTTGTTTTGACCTTTTTTAATTAAAAATCCATTAATCAAAAAATGATATAATTATCATCACATGCCTAACAGAGCGTCCAACTACTTTTCGCTTCTACTTTCATTATTAACTATGAATTGATTGAACTAAATAAATGACAGAAGTAATGATCCATTGACTCATCCTAAAAAGGCAATTCCATGAAGAAGAAATATCTATAAGTTCTCTTTAATGAAATGCTCAATTAGGAATATAAGGATACAAAGTGCTCACACAATAACATATCCGACAAGAAATTCGAATATTAATTTCACAAGGGGTGCAAATAGAATAGAGGAAGCTCTTGAATCTCGATTAATCCTCTTTACACTTCTTCCTCAATTAATGAAAATTGGAAGTACTTTCAACACACAACAATGCTTGGTTTCCTACTTGACCAAGTAACCAGACCAACACATGGAATAGGACCAAGAAAGAAAAAACAAATCATGGCAGATTTCTCAATAAACTCAATATCAAGTGAATAGACTTACATCGAGCATTCACCTGTAAATTTGACATTCATAGATCACAAGAACACATAAAAATGTAAAAACTATGCTCATAACATACTAATTTTCGAGTGACAGAATATTTTCAGTTCCCATTCTGAAATTGTCACACCGTGTACGCTTAAACCCCTAAAAAATTGGGACTTTTCAAGTTTTATAAACCCTTTAAATGAAATGGACGAATACATGAAACATAAATATATAAAGAGAGACACCAAAACAGACCTCCGACAGTAAAATTAACAGCCAATAGAAGTGGCCAGAGGAACTTATAGCGGCCGGCAAATGATTCTTTAGGCGGCTGAGGTGACGGTGTCGACGGAGGAGGAGGAGGAGGAGGAAGGGGAGTTATAGCAGCCTGAGACCCCGTTGACGACCCAGTCGACGCTATGGATGATGGTGCAAATGCCTGTTGTTGCTGATATTGCTTCCGCTGTGCTGTTAATCGTTCCGTAATGGAAAAAATAATTTGAAAATCAAAAGCTACAAAGAAAAGGGAATTGATTATTTTTCGGCTGAATCCATCAATGTGAAGGTTCGATTTCTAGGGTTTCTTTCTTTGGGACGAAACGACATCGCGAAGAGAGGAGAGGAGGGGGGAGAGAAGGACATGGAGAAACCGACTGAGAGAGAATAAAGGAAAGAAGGATGGGAGGTTGCTTGAGAAATGGAGAAAGTCAGAAGATGTCTGCAGAGGAGGAAAGGGCAAAAAAAGGGAAAATGGCTTAGACGGCTTGGCAAACGCGGCTCAACAACTGAGCCAAATGGCCAAAAGGCTTACGAATAGTAGCCTTCAAACTTGCTCTTTTTATAGTGTAGGATAGGATTTAAAGTTAAAACTATTTTGTTATAAAAAAGTGGTATCTGTAAATGTTTATAAATTTACTAAAAGTGCAGTGATTGGTTGACAAATTTTGTTGGCAAACTATGTGTTTGACAATATTTAGAGCCTATTTGGTATGGATTTTGATTTTCTACAGTAAATCAATTCTCATTTTCAGCCACACATTCTTCAATAAAATAATATTTTCCATCACATCAATAATTTTTTCTTCTTTTTCAACCATACATTTCCCATCATATCAATTCATTTTCTATAGTAAATCAATTCTCATTTTCAACCACACATTCTTTAATAAAATAATATTTTACATCATATCAATATTTTTTCTTCTTTTTCAACCACACATTTCCCATCATATCACTATTCAAAAATCAATTCTCCCCCCAAAAATTCCTACCAAACAGGCCCTTAGACTAATTATTTCAAAAACAGTTTTTGAAATGACTGAAAATTATTAATTTAGATCTTGTCAGCACTTATTTTGTACAGCTAAATTAATTGTTAATTAAATTCAGTTGTTCAGTTGCGTGGTGAGATCTGAACGATGGGGTCCACTATTTTTGAAGCAATTTTTTTTTTCAAGTGCGCCATACTTTAGTCAACTATTTCCGTTGATAGGGAGGGGACATTTTTTTTAATGGGTAAATTATACACGCACCACAATTTTTATTTTTTTTCACCACATTTTAATAATAGTTAAATTTCTTAATTTTTGTTCATTATAGCACTTATATTTTTAGAGGTTTTTCACGTCATTTTTATTTCAAATTTTTCATTAGTTAACACATTTTGTATTTTATAACAGTTTATGCCAAAACTTCATTGAAATGGTGTAAAACAACTTATTTTTATTATATTTTAAATAAATAAATAAATTAAAATTGCGAAAAGAAATATTTTTCCCTCATTTCAAAGGCATGAAAACAAAATATTTTGATATAAATCATTATCAAGGACGAGACTTACTAATTGATGGAAGATTGAAGATGAGAATTCGACGGAAAAAAAAAGTTAAAATAAATAATTGCTGCAATGTACAAAGAATGAGAAACTTAATTATAATTAAAATATGGTGTATCAAATAAAAATTGTGGTGATAATATAATCACGCATTTTTTACGGGGTGTCCTCAACTAAGATTTTGATCGATTTTAAAAGATTATAAATTCTAATAAACTTTCTGAATTGGATTAGATTTCCACAAATTTTATAAGAATCTCATCAAATATGGTGAAATTTCTAAAGATTTAGTTATATGCATTTTTAAACTTGAAATTTACCAAAATCTTTTAAAATTCTCTTTATTAATGAAATCTTTATAAATTTACTACTTATTAAGAACACCTAAATTTTAAAGATTTTCATTAAAATCTCAATTGTGGACATCTAAATTTAGAAAAAAAATTAAAATCGGTCACAACCTCAATTGAATACACCCCCAAATTCTTTGGGACTCTCGTTGCATTTTTTTTTAATTTTTGTTTCATTTTTTCATTTATTTGAAGGGAAGGACAAAGTCGTTATTGAATAGAATATAGAACAGTTTACAAATACAATTAAGCTAGATGTACATGACACTAAGGATGCATCTCCTTAGGCAGAAGAATTTTGGGTAGTGATGAGGTGTATGTGTTTAAAATCAATGGTGTATATTGTTACATGAAAAAAATGTCAAATTTGTTGTCAACCATAATGAACATGTAGCATGATTGTTATAGATATTGGGAACAAAAAGGATAAGTTTTTCTTTATCAAATTAAATCGTTTATAAATTATTCTCAAACGAAAGCTAAGAGCCCAGCCCGTTTGATTCTCATTAGTTTGGAAAAATGAGTTTTGAATAGTATTTTTAAGAGCAATCATGTTGCACTAACATTTTGGATGACATGCAAGGCGATAGAAATGTCATGTAACAGAACTTAATTGAATTGTTTAAAAAATAGTACATTATCATCCAATCGTTTTTTGTCGCAACTTTATCAGTCAACCTAGGTGTTAAATTCATCTGACAAAACAGCATAATTCTTTTAATGGGGGACCAAATGGGGGCTAAACCACTTTGGTAATGAATCACGATGTCAAAAACAATGATTGAATATATTAATGGGAGTCAAGGCAATTAATTTATTTCTGTTCCCCATTAAATAATTCCCCGCCGTTATACTTGTCAAATAGTATGTAGTGAGAGAGAGGAGATAGCAAGAATTCCGGTTTCTTTGTAAGAATAAATGGACTTGAAATCCTTAAATTTTAAGAATTTGCACTAAAAATATCATCGATCGGAGTGGGGCGTTAGTGGGCAGTTTGTCAAATATATATGTACGTTATTTTTTTATTTTTTCCTTTTGATATATTTACGATATCAATGTATAATGCGTGTTATGCTTTACCCTTTTTTTCTTTGGATTTTTAGTTTTAAGGTTTCTTCTACTTTCTTTGCGTTTTGCTTGCAGTAATTCAACTATAGAATGTTTGAAAGCTTATGGATTTTATTGGAATTTAACGATAAGGGAATTATTCGTCATTTTTGTCCAGTTGTTTTTGTAGGTTATTGAGAGGTGAATATGAGGTGCTTGAATATTGATTTGAACTTACGCCTGATTCTGGTGCTAATTCTATCAAGTAAGTTCTTTTTGGCTCTGTTGAAAAAAATTTCCTTTGTGTATTTCTCTGTCAGAATATTCAATTTTTGAATTAGTGAGTTATCTTATGATATGTGGTGAGTGTTGTGATGAATGTTTATTCATAGGAAAGGTTTTTTTCTTTGCATATAGAATCTTTGTTCAAAACCATTTGAGAAAAAGGTTTTTATTTATTATTATTATTTTTTTTGGGTGGTTGAATGAGGGACGTGCTAATCAGTAATCCTTCCAGCTTACCTTTTCTACCGATTGCTGTATTTTTCTTGTATTGCTTCTACAAGGAGGATTTTTAATTGACATTTTCAGATAAGGAGAATGTTGGGATTTTTGCAATAATAGTTGATCTCTTTTTACTTTTCCCAGTTCCTATCATCATAAAGGCATCTTCCGCCAAGGATGGCTATAAGCAGTGTGAAAATACTGTCAAGCATTGGGCATCATCATCTCTTAATTCTGAAGTTAAGGAAGACAAACATTTATTGCGGGACTTACTCTTTTTCCTACATGTACCTCGAACAGGAGGGCGTACATATTTTCACTGGTAACTTTCTATTGGTCTGGCACTGAACCCATGTGCCACCTTGGTCCTTCCTCATACAAGGAACGACAAAAAGATGATTATCATTCTCAAAATTAATTTGTTAAATGGTAAATGCAGATGCTTTATTCTCATGCTTAGAACCTTTGTATGTAGTTTCTTGAGGAAGCTGTACTCAAATTCTCAGGAATGTCCTCGTTCTTACGATAAGCTACGGGTGGATTCGAGGTAATGCTGAACATCATTGTTAGAGCATCCAAATTATTTACTCCTGTATTAGTTTGTTGAAATCTTCAATCAGCCAATCACTTTGTTCTTACACAAACACTCCCTCGAAAACAAAATGAGGCCACCTTAGCAATTGTGAGGATCATTGGTAGCCAAGATCACAAGTATTGTGAGCTTGTCACAAACTCAGAATTCGCTACTTGCCTGATGTTGTGAGCATGAAGAGTTGGTGAAGCTGGAAACAGATGGTCATTATCACATGTTAGATAATCCAAAATAATTAATCTAATAATGGATTAGCTCTTGAGTTATTTGAACTGTGCTTGTACAGAATGAGTGTTTGACAACTTGTTTAGGAATGGTGTGGCTTGTAAAGATGCTATGAGACTTTACCTCTTTGAAGTTAAGAAAGATAAAGTCAGAATGATTGGCTCTCTATGATTTGATTTTTATAGCTGGTCCAAGCTGTAACCTTTTAATATCGTCATTGTCGGAGACATGTTATCTCTTCGTTTTTGTTTAGTGGTGAAAATAATCAGCATATGTCCATGTCCTTTCCTTCAACCGGACTATCAAGGCACCCCACAGTTGGAAAAAAGGGGAAAGTGCTGCTTACTTTTTAGGATCATTGTGATTATTCTTGTACTCCGTATCATGTGAAAATTTGTTTCTAACTCTAAAGTTTCTTTTTTAAGATGTCTAAGTTGTGAATTTTGTTGCGATTCGCAGAAAACCAAACTGTCGGTTATTAAGTACTCATGATGACTATAGCATCATATACAAACTTCCCAAGGAGAAAACGTCAGCGGTGACAATACTTAGAAACCCCGTTGAACGTGTCTTTAGCACTTTTGAATTTTCTGTGGAGGTAGCAGCTAGGTTTCTGATATATCCTAACTTAACTTCTGTGGGAAGAATGGCTAGACGGCCACGGCTTAAGAAGGGTGGAGTGAGCACTTTGGATATCTGGCCATGGAAATATTTGGTTCCTTGGATGATAGAAGATTTATTTGCTCGAGTATGCCCTTTAACTAGAGTTTGATGCTTCCTTTTATGCATGTTTTTTTGGGCATCCTTTTTTAGGATTTTTTCTTTATTTGTCTATGCAAATGCATCATGAAGTACCATTTTTATTGTTGTGCTTGAAACAAAATAATACAGTTGGAGTACCGTTACCTTGTTCTGACTATTATATTAGCATTTATATCATACTTTTTTCTGATTTATGTTTCTCAAACCAACTAATACATAGTTTCTTGTTAAACTCGTCTTGGTTTAACACATCATTTTTTTTCAATCCATGTTGATTTTAATATCCCGCAAGTGTTAGGATTGTAAACAAGTAATAAAGTAGGCCTAG